GGAACTGCTAATGCATTTCTTGAAGTAGCCGAGATTGAGTTTTTCCACGATCAAGCACCCGAAAGCATGAAGAGTCTTGGGACATCTTACTCGATGATAAGTCTTGGAGCAGGGAATTTTATAAGCAACTTTCTTCTTTCAACAGTGTCGCGTGTCACAAAAGAGAATGGACATCACGGATGGATTCAGAACAACCTTAACGCGTCTCACTTTGATTATTACTACGCATTCTTCGCCATCTTGAATTGTTTGAACTTCATTTTCTTTTTGGTTATGATCAAGTTTTATGTATACAAGGCACAAGTCTCTGATTCAATGAGAGTGAGTGCTAGGGGAAGAATTGGTAGCATCGAAGCATAAATAGGATAAATGATCAAGAAACAACTTGAAAAATGAAATTATTGCTTGTATTCCACATTAGGTGAATTAACATTATGCCTCTCTTTGTTGTTATTATTATTATTTTTAAGGAGTTTGGGTTTTATTTTATTTTGCTAAAATTCAACTAGTGCTTGATAAGTGAGAAATATTTATGAATCTTACAAAATATACTAAGAAAATGAAACCTACGTGAAGTGCTCTTAAATTATTTCATTTCTACTCGAGGAAATGGCATTGTTCATACTTGATTAAGGGAAAAAGAAATGGCTGCTCAATAATTAGCCATTGTTTGAGCCGCGTTCTCATTTTCATTTTCATTCTTCTACTCATTTTTAACTACACATTCTTCAATAACATAATATTTTTCATCACATCAATAACATTTCCTTTTTTTTAACCATATATTCACTATCACATCACAAAGAAATGCATTTTTTCTATTTTAACGTACATCAAACACACTTTTATTAAGAAAACTCATTTAAAAGGCCTAGTCAGTCCAAAGTGACTAAAGGCCTTTACATTTGGCTACTTGTATTCACACCATAATTTTGTAGCTACATCATATTTTTATTGTAATGAATGTCCTTTACCTTTAATCCTTTTCGCACTTATGTACCCATTTTTTTCGTCAATTCTTACCATCAACCCTCTATAAATTTTTACATCTTATCTAATAGTAGTAATGGTTTCCGTCCCAAAAGTTCCCTAGGAGAGCGTAAAATACTTATGTGTCTCTCATATTTTTGAATAAGTGAAATGAACAACAAAGTTTCAATGCATGTTAGAAGGATATTTGGTCTGCAATCGTCATCATCAGAGATAAGATATAAAAGTTGATGACATAAGTGATGAAATGAACAAATTTTGAAACTTTTTATAGCAATTCGGGAAATAAAAATTATGATATTAATATAAGAATAAAGCTATTAATTACCTTTATTTTTCCGTGTAAGAGGCATTTATTTGGCATTTATTTACTTGTAAAATTATTAAATAAACCTTAATTGATTTATATATGACCATTCAGAATTGTTCTTCGCAGTAGTAGTGCTCATGCCCCAAGATCACCAACAAAACTCAAACAGATTTGAGCGTCGCTGCATAGATCTGAGTGACAACAGATCGCCAAAAAACCAAACAGATCTGAGCGCCACTCCACTGTGTCGCAGCCGCTGCATCGACATTGTGTAAAGCCGCACGTATCAATGTCATCGGTACTACAAGCGACTTTTAGAGGTGGTCTCCAACGACAGCAGTGGTCCACTTGTAAGGAAGGGGGTAAGAATTAGACAAAAAAATTTAAGAATATAAGTGTTATAATGAGAAAATATTGAGGACCTTAAGTCCAATTAAAATATGGTGTTAAAGAGAATAAAATTGTGGTGTGAATATAATTAGACTTACAGATATTACTAGTCTATTGCCTGTGCAATGCAGAGCTTTGTTATTTCGAAGGTAATACTAACGTTCCTGGAAAATAGATTGATACCTCTTCTTTAGGTGACTTCTTCTTAAACCTTGATGCATAATATTTTTTTTATGTACCAGTAGGGTGGGGTGTTGAGCAGGGCAGTGGACAAAGAAAGCAAATGTTCACATCCTTCAGAACAAAGATAATAATAGCTTACATCTTGGGTTTCAGCTGATAACATGCGGAGAATGAAATATTTCGAAAGTTTTTCCCTTCTCTCCCTATTATATAAACAAACTGTGCCATAATATGGCTCTACAATAAAACTTTTGCTATGAACGGTGTGCAGCTTAAAAACTAAATGAAAAGAAAAGTGGAATAAACAAGTCAACAGTGACTACAAATGTGTAGACTCACCAACAAGCTCAGCCTGAAATGTCAATAAATAACACTTCCACTACAATCTTTAGCCCACTACAAAACCAAATGTTAATCAATTCATACATGAGAAATATAAGACGAGATTACAACATACATAATTTACTACTAGTTCAATGCTGATTACATAAAAATGGATGTTGACAAATATAGTAAAAGTCATTAACTCGATCACATAGTTGGATCAAAGGCAATGAACTTTCCGCTTTCCTTTTGCATAGTAATGTTTATGAATATCTCGATGTCTTTTTCTTCAGTGTGTTATTGTAAAACTATCAAAGAATACACGGTTGAAGGAGCTTGGATGAAGGCTTCTTTTACAGGAGGTTGGCAGCTGTGACTTTTGCTTATTCATTCACCTTTCTG